AAGTCTTGCCCATTTGTTGTGAAGCTTATTTCTAATGCTTTATGTATTTTTTAAATCAATCATAAAAAAATGATCCATACTTGCAATATGTTAAAAGGTCTTCTGTCAAAGGTTTCATGACCAAAACTAAATAAAGTAAAATAGTTTTCTTCACTGTAGAATTTCTCAAGGCTAATGTATGTGTGTTGAGTCTCTAAGGAGGCAGGTAGATGGAGACAAGTCATTTCCCAAACCTACCTGACTCCAAAATTCTTTTATGTGATAGAGCTATTGATATTTTCAGAGTTTAAGACCATAGTTTGAAAAAGCCGTTATGATGGCTGAACCACTTATCAATTTATTGTCTTTCAGCTCCAAATTCACCCTTCACTGCCCTGCTTCTGACACTTGAACATTTCTCCTGCCAGCTAGCACAATGTTAAATTTTGTCAAAAGAGAGCACTAGGGGGACATCAGAGAAGAAGGGACTATTCTCTCCGTTTCCACTGTGCTCCTCAAAGCTTGTTTCTGTGACACAGGACATTCAGTGGTACTCATCTTTAGGGTTGAGACTAGTGTGTGTTAAGAGACACATAGGGTTCAAAAATTGAGAATGCCATCTTAAATTTTGTGCCCTAGGCACTTATTTTGCCTCACCTAGTACCGGCCCTGTTCATCCTCTGGTGATTATCAGTTGTGCTGTGCCACTACATTGGTGGTTTCCCAGTAAGCACCCCCCAATCCCAAAAGGCACTTCAATGAACTTCTCCACCCTTCAGCAGGCCATGGGCTTGCCCTCCAAAAAGGTCTGGAATTCAACGGGATAGGGAATTCTTCCAGATTTGTTCCTCCCTTGGGGTGCCCTGTCTCAGTCTTAAAGGTACTGATTGTTCCCCTTATCATCTACTCCTGTATTTAGAAATCTCTTTACTTCCTAGTGAAGCCTTGGTGGCACAGTGGTTAAATGCTCAGGTGCTAACTGAAAGGTCAATGGTTTAAACCCACCAGTGGCAGTCTGCTTCCATAAACACAACTGTTGCTGTTGTTAGGTGCCATAAAGTTGGTTCTGACTCATAGATACCCTATTTAACAACAGAACAAACTGGTGCCCAGTCCTGTGCCATCCTTATGATTGCTGCTATGTTTGAGCCAGGGCTCAGAACCTGTTAAACTGGTTCAGTTACAGCTGACAACGGAAAACTGGAACAGATCTGAATTCTACTCTGGATGCAGTGGAATGATAACTGCATGGGAAAAATTATAGGCTGGAGCCATGCAAGGGAGACTCATAAAAGGCATACAGGAGCAAGCGCATGATGCGAGAGACTGGATTACTGCCAAGACAGTGGAGAGACACACATTCAAAACTGCAAAACGGGCCACCATCTTTGAGGCAGGCAGCATCATTTCCAACTCTGTGAATCAAGAGATTTGATTGCTATATAACACACACAGTGCCCTTGTTTTCTAAGATAGAGACTAAGGTTCTAGCAGGCTATTAACCTTTAATTTTTCCCATTCTAGTTATTGTTCCAGTTCATCCCCATTTTTATAAATCCAGGTCCATTCTGACTTCACTTCATCAGCCATGACTACAGAATCGGTTCAAAACCCTGATTTGAGCCATTTGTTGTAGCCACTTTGTCAATCCATTTCATTGAAAGTCTTCTTCTTTTCACTAATCATCATCTTTATCAAGCATGATGTCCTTCTCTAGGGACTAGTCCCTCCTGATACCATGTCCAAAACAAGTGAGATGAAGTCTCAAGAATCTTAAAAATCCTATGAGGCAGTTCTATTCTGCCCTATAGGGTCACTATAAGTCAGAACTGACTCAACGGCAACAGGTTTTGGTTTCATCCCTCAGAAGGTTATCTCCTGATTTAATAATTGTTTAAATTTGCCATTTTGTCTCCTGAATGGATTCTGATGCACAGTCCTGTAGACATCAAATAACTGGAGTTTTCTCCAAAACTGTTGTTAGATGCTGTCAAGTTAGCTCCAACTCACAGCAACTCTATGTACAACAGAATGAAACACTGCCCAGTCCTGTGCCATTCTCAATCCTTGCTATGCTTAAACCCACTGTCGCAGCCACTGTGTCAGTCCATCTCACCGAGGGTCTTCCTCTTTTTCACTGACCTACTTTACCAAGCATGGTATAATTCTCCAGGGAATTGTCCCTTCTGACAACATGACCAAAACAGGGGAGATGAAATTTGGCCATTCTTGTTTCTAAGGAGCATTCCAGCTAAATTTCTTCTAGGACAAATTGGTTCATTCTTCTGGCAGTCCACTGTATGTTCAGTATTCGTCACATTACAATGTGGAAATCTGCACTCTTCCTAGCCAATCAGAGTTCACAACAATACTGTATCTCTCCACATATTCAATAGCAGTGGCTGTTCCATTTTAGCCTCCGTCACATGTAAGTGGAGACTGTACAAGCTCAATCTTGTAAGATCCTAAATTGCCTCTAGATCACTTATCTCAAGGCACAGATCTTAACTTCTATAAAAAGAAAGCCTTTCTGATATTTCATGGTCCAAATCTTTTCCACTACATCCATTAAATCACTTCAGATCATCTTAGCACAAAATCCTTATCTAAAGTCCTACAGTACTATCTGAATTCCTCTACTGACTTTTCAGACACTCTGTAGTTATTTGCATGTTAGTAGAAATTAAATTCCTTGAAGTAAAAGACCTCATCTTTGTGTAACCCCAGAACCTGGTGAGTTCAGAACATTTATCAGGCTTTAACATATGGTTAGTATAAATGAATATATTTCTGGCTTCTATAAACTTTGAACAGTTATTTTAAAACAAATCCCATGTAAAATATGGTATGCTGAATAAGAAATTCTTAAACTTAAAATACTCGAATTAAATATTCATTTGTTTCAGCTAAATACTTGGCACAAAATTTCCTTAGATTCAAGTGTTTAAGAAATCTTAGGGTGCATATGTTCACACACCCCCCCCACAAGCAAAAGTTACTAAAAAAAATTATTTGGGGAAAATAAATTTTTGTTGTAGGGTTTAATCTTAATTACGAAGTTTTTTTTTTAATTGTGACTTGGATGAAAATTTACAGAGCAACTTCACTTTCTATACAACAGTTAACATACACTTTGTCTCATGACATTGCTCACAATTCACCACAATGCAACAGCTCCCCTCCCACTTCCTCCCCATAGTTACCTCTTCCCTATATCCATCCCTCCATGCATTCCTGCTCTGAGCTGTCTCCCTGTGCATAAACAGCCCTTCTTTCTCCCATGATTGTTCTCTCTAATGAGTGTATCTACCTCAGGTAAATGTTCAACTCATATGCCTGTCTTTTGTTTGGCTGGAAGCCACAGGTGTGGGTTGAATTCCAGACCTGAAGGGCAGCTAGGGGCCACAATCTCAGGGGTTCTACCAGGCTTTATCGGACCAGCAAACCTGGCGCCTCCCGCCCCTTTTTTTTTCTCCAAATGATTTTGAGTTTTGTTCCACATTGTTCTCCCTCTCTATCCAGGATCTCCTACATAGACCCCCTGTGAGTAGTTGACAGTGGTAGCTCTGCACCATCTAGTTCTTCCGGTCTCACAGTTGTATAGACTGTGGATTGCATGGTGTACCAATCGCTAGGGCTAAATGTTTCCATGAATCTTTGGTTTTCTTCATTCTTCTTTGCTCTGGACGAGGAGAGGAGAGACCCATTGTTGCATCTAGATGGCTGCTTGCAAGCTTTTAAGATCCCAGTCACTACTTGCCAAAGTAGGAGGTGGAAGAATGTTTTAGTTACGAAGATTATTATGAAGACAATGTTAACCGTTAAACATGTTAACTGTTAAACAGAACTGATAATGTTCAACCAATTGGAAATTATTTATATATTTCAACATATAAGATAAAAATCAGCTTAGGAGCCGCCAGTTTGTGAAACATTTTTTCATATATGTGAAAAAGATCTAGTTTTTTATTGGAACAAAGATTTATTCTAGGACACTGATATAACTGCTAAAAATGTTAATGAGTCATATGTAATTGTATTCAGTTACTATCTTAAGTCCATTTTGGAACAAGGTGATTATAAATAAATAAGCTTCTGGATTACAAAAAAGAATCACCTAACTGTATATGTAGAGTTTGAAGACAGATCACATCTAAAGCAATCAATTCTGAGTGTTATCTTTGGAGGATGTGATAAAGCAGACCAAAAAAAAAAAAAAAGGCCCACTGCCATCAATTCATTCTGACTCACAGTGACCCTACAAGGCTGCGTAGAACTGCCCTGTAGGGTCCCTAAGGGTGTAAATCTTCACGGAAGCAGACTGCCTCATCTTTCTGCCTCACAAGGGCTGGTGACCTCAAACCGCCAGTCTTTTGGTTAGCATCTGAATGCTTTAATCACCACATCACCAGAGCTTCTTGATGAATCAAAAGTCCTGGATAATGAGCGTCTGTAAGTCATTTTTCATGTGGAATAAATTAACAGTCTCCATATATTCAAAAGATTTTCATGTAGAAAAGGGAGTTACTTCCTGTAACTCTGTAGAAGTCAGAAGTCCAAAAACCCACTGTCATCAATCAATTTCAACTCTTGGTGACCCTATAGGACAAAGGAGAACTGCCCCAGAGGGCGTCTAAGACTAAACCTTTACGAAGAAGTAATAGGTAGGCATGCTTTCATTCAAATTAAGAGAATTTTCTAGTAATATAGCTGCCTCCAACAACAGAATAAATTGAAGTGGTATGCTCTTTTATTGAATGTATTTAATAAACTGGAGTTAGTCATCCATCAGACAAAAAAGGACATCTAACTGGGAAAGGAATAGGAACTTCATGATATATAATACTGTCTGCAATTCTATACCTTTGAAGCTATTTTTAATAGGTTTTAAGATATAAACAAAAAAGAAGAAATTGTAAGTCACAATGAATATACTTCCTCCATGCTTTAAGTATGTGCTAAAGATAGTATATTATAAACTCATAAACAGCTTCTTACTCAAGCTTTCTTTCAAAACTTACTAGAATTCTGTTGGATTCCCCATCGTACTCTCATCCTGAATTGCCGGGCGCCATTTTGCTGGAGTCTTCTGTTTAGTCTTGGAAAATTCTGCTTCTTTCCTTCCTTTCGATTCAATTTGATAATATCATCTATGTAAAAGATGTCATAATTATTTTCATTTTAACTTAATGACTCAATTATTTAGTCTTATTTTCTAATTAAGACATTTCCTCTCTAACTCTTTTCTATTTTAAAAGCACTCTCAGAAGTTAATAATGGTAAAAAGAAAAGTTTAAATCAGCCATTGGCATTCTGAAGAGGGTTTTTGTAGGAAAACTTCAAATGCCCAAAGCAAATCTACCAACTAATCAAGAGTTCTATCATCCACAGTATTTCTTTCCCTCATTAGTGTAAATGAACAAAGCCTGTTTACAAAATTACTCATACTTTCCATAATCACAGAAATATCAATTTAAGATGACTACCTTTCAAAAAAGCCACAGGCAGTCAAAATAATAAATCCTTCAGTTAAAAGGCTAAATATCTATATTCAATTAAACAAATATTAAATACATACTACGTATAAATTCTGAATATTATGTGCCAAGTTGTTTGTAATATGGTCTCTATTTTCAATAAGTTTAAAATTACAGATGGAAATAGACAAGTAAACAGCAAAAGAAGATAAAATTAATAAGTGCCATAACAAAAAGTACAGTACAAGGAAAAAAAAAACAACTGGGTTTCTGCTGTTCTAGCAAAGTAATTCAAAAAACAAATAATAAAAAAACCATTGCCACTGAATCCATTCTGACACACAGCAACCCTACAGGACAGAGTAGAACTGCCCTACAAGGCTTCCAAGCCTGTGTCTTTACAGAAGCAGACTGCCACACTGTTCTTCCATGGAGGGGCTGATGAGTTCGAACCACCGACCTTTTGCTTAGCCATCAAGCACTTGTGCCACCAGTGCGCCTCAAAGTATTCAAGGTTATCTATTTTTCTTTCTATAATGAATTCTTTAAGCCTCATTATTTCCAAAAGTACTTACAAACTGCCCTAAAGTTAATTCACAAATAACACATCGCTCTAAGAACAAAGACCAATGTGAAGATGAAGAAACTGTATGTGCTCCAGATTCCTACTTTTATCTGTTAAAGGTGATTATTAGAAGCCAAAAATACTCATTTAAGAAACACCCAAACACTTTCTACACAGTCTCCAACTCCAATACTAATTTTGATTATTGATAATGCAAACAAGCCTAAGAAAATACATATGGTCAACAACTTAATAAAACTTCACAAAACTAATTAATCTTGATGTTTTTCTACATTCACCTAAGAACTAATAACCTACCAAACACATGTCAACATAATTAGTCTTTTCTGGTTAAAGAAGGAAATGTAGATTACAAAGATCCTTTCTGATATATTATTACTGTACTTCTCTCATCTGTAAATCTACCAGATGCTTAATCATACTCATATAGAATATTTCAAATATCCCCAAAGTGTTATCTTCTTGAGATTGATCCTCCAACAGTAAGAGTTCATAAAAGTTAAAGATATCAAAAAAAAATTTTTTTTTAAATAAAAAGATTTCACAAACATCAACTATAACCAAAAACCAAACCCAACATCATCAAGTCAATTCCAACCCAAAGAAACCCCATAGGTCAGAGGACAACTGACCTATAGGTTTCCAAGGCTGCAATTTTTATAGAAGCAGACTGCCACTCTTTTTCCCACAGAGTAGCCCATGGGTTCAAACTGTCAACCTTTTGGTTAGCAGCCAAGCGCTTAATCAATGAACCACCAGGCTTTCTTTATCATATATAAGAACGTATTAAATTTTCAAAAAGCAGAAGGAGAGTATTTAGGAAGACAACAAGAACCAAAACCAAACTCACTGTTGTTGAGTCAATTTTGACTCATAGCTACCCCTCCTTGGGTTTCCAAGGTGGTATCACTACAGAAGTAGATTGCCCACAGCTCACAGGGCAGGAGTGCATGGAGGGAAGGACCTAGTGAAGAAATAACTATGGGGAGGAAGTAGGAGGGGAGCTGTTGCATTCTGGTAAACTGTAGTCAATGTCATGAGACAAAGTATATGTGAGCTGCTGGATGGAAAGTGAATTTGCTCTGTAATCTTTCACCCAAAGCACAATTTAAAAAAAAAAAAAAAAAAGTAGATCGCCCAATCTTCCTTCCAAGGAGTGGCTGGTGGATTTGAACTGCCAGCCTTCTGGTTAACAGTCAAATGCCTTGGGCACTATGCCACCAGAGCTCCCTATGAAAAACTACTTTCCTTTAACAAGTTACCATTTATTCTTCACCAAATCAAAACCACCAAACTCATTGCCATCAAGTCAATTCCGATTCACAGCGACCCCCATTCTGAGGCTATAAATCTTTTCAGAAGTAGATTGCCTCATCCTTCCTTCCACGGAGTGGCTGGTGGAACTGCTGACTTTCTGGTTAGCACCCAAATGCTTTATCCACTACACCACCAGAGCTCCATTATTCTTCACCAGAAGTGTGAAATCTCAGACCCATGACAGAGTATGGGGGGAAAAAAAAGAAAGAAAGAAATTGGTCTGTAGAGCCAAGAAAAATAAAAAAGAGGCAGTATACAATTTTGACTAACCAGATTAATTTTAAAATAGAGCATAGCATCTAAACATAATTAAAAATAGCAAAGTACATCAAATATTAAATGGGTTTACAGTAAACATTTTTTAAAATTTCAAACAAGTTACAGGCATACCTGATTTTATTGCACTCTGAAGACACTGTGTGTTTTACAAATTGAAGGTTTGTGTCAACACTGCCTCGAGCAAGTCTATCAGCACCATTTTTCCAAAAGCATGTGCTCATTTCATGTCTATGTCACATTTTAGTAATTCTCACAATATTTCAAATGCTACTGCACATTTAACAGACTACAGTATAGCACACACATAATTCTTATGTGGACTGGGAAACCAAAAAAAGTGTGTGACTTGCTTTATTGAGATATTTATTGTGGTGGTCTGGAACTGAACTCACAGTATCTCCAAGGTATGCTTACACATGAGCTACTGTAACAGAGAATATTCTTCCAATCTAAACAGAGAAAATGGCTTTCTCCTCCCAAAAAGTGGAGAATATTTATCAGATGAAAAAGTGGTATGAGAAGGGGAAAAAAAAAAGTTCATTACAATGAACTACTTTACAAAAAAGTTTCTTCCATAACACTAGGGGTAAACATGGTAAGAATAATTATAGTATTAACTGAGTACTAACTAGCATAACATTTTAGCATGTATTAATTTAATCCTCACAATAACCCTATGAAATAAATTATCATAATACCCATTTCACAACTTAAGAAAATGAGCCACAATGCGGCAGCTAACGGTAATCTTGGTAGGTATTCTATATGAATATTTACATAACTTTAGGAGAGTTGGGATTAAAAACAGAAAATCATAGTCTAAAATCTCTGCAGATGTAATAAAATGAAATATTCACAAAGCAAACTGTCTAAGAGAGACATTATCTTTTCATCTTATCTCTATAAAATTCTCACTACAAAACTGAATTTTGTATATTCTTGGGGGGAGGAAAGGGACTAAATTATATTTTAGATCTTCACAGCACTTCAGTTCTATCTTCAAAGAGAACTGCCCCATAGTTTTCTTCCTTGAACATCCTAATCACCAAACAAAAAAACGTATTGATTATGAAATATATATAGCTTAGGGATCTAGAGCCAGACTGAAATCCTGCCTCCACCACCTACCCCTTGTATTGACTTTGGTCAAGTTACTTAATTTCTCTATGCCTCAGGTTCCTGTAAAATAGTTATAACAACAATAGCTTATATAACATATACTCTAGTAGAGTGCTTACTGTGTACCAGGTATTATTCTAAGCAGTTTACATATGCCTATTAACTCATTTATACTTAAGAGCAATCCAGTGAAGTCGATAAGCAGTATTATCATCACCTTTTTAAAGATGAGGCACATAAAAGTTAAATAATTTGCTTGTGGTCATATGGCCAGTAAGTGGCAGAGGCAGGATCTGAATTTGAAGAAGTGTGGCTCCAGGTTCCATGTTCTTTATTACTAGAGAGGTCCCTGGGTGACAGAGATGATTTGGAATAGACTCAAAAGCAACTAAGAACAACACTACCCAGAAGGCTGGTGGTTCAAACCTACCCAGAGGTAAGAAAGGCCTGGCAATCTGCTGCCATAAACGTTACAGCCAAGAAAACCCTATGGAGCACAGTTCTACTCTGACACATACAGGGCTGCCATGAGTTGTAATCCACTTGACAGCAACAAGTCTGGCTGTGGTCTATTACTGGCAGTATATACATCATAGGATTATGATAAGAATAAATACGTACAAAATATTTAGTCCAGTGCTTGGCTGGTAATTAACACTCAAAACTCCTTAATGTATTATTTCTTAACCTCAGCTCAAAGATTTCTCATTTCTTTTGAGTTCACTGCCGCCAAACCTCTTAGGATCATTTACTTAATTCACCTATTGGGTTCTGACTTGTGGCGACCATAGAAATCTAGAGTTCTTGGTATTGCTAAAAAAAAATTCTCCAGATAAACCATAACAAAAGAAACACACACAAAAGGAAATGACAACCCTAGAATATTTCCAAGATGGGTATTGTCCTAAATACAGTACCCAGAAAAGTGGACCCTCTTTATCCATTAGTCAGGTACTTTTCAAATATGCGAAAAGTCTGAGGCCACACAAAGCCCAGAAGGAGCTAACTACATCTAATACCCTATTTGAATCCCAACAAAAATGTCATTACTTTGAAACCAGAGAAACCAAAATCAGAGTCTAGTGCCTCAGAAGTGTTAGATCTTAATTTGTAATTGAATCACAAATCTTCCTGCTTTTTATACAAGATAACCAAACCACTCGACTCCTCTTTATGTGTTAGACTCAATTATTTTGCCTGGCTTCTCACCAATAGACATCTCTCCTTAGGTTTCTACTTCAGTTTTTTCTAATTAGCTAATTAACTTTGAGGTCTACAAAAGGAGAATGTACTTTTCTAGGAATCGCCTACTAAAACATTTAATGACGTCCTTTGCCTAACGATATTCTGACAAACGTTCCAGGACAGGTGCTGGCCCCGAAGTCTGGCGCCCGTCAGAGATCGACAATTCCCAGGGCGTCTTCACGCGCGTCTCGCAGGCCTGGGTCTAACTGCTCCACAAACCCTTCTGTGGAACTACCGATTTTAACTGAACGTTAACCTAGTTGGGCTCTCAAAGACCTTTCTTCAGAAAGGACGGCTTAGTTGGGCCATTCTTCCTCGCTCCGCAGGTAACGCCTACAGCGAACCTGCTTGGGGGAAACCGCGGAGTTTTCCTCACAAAGAGCCGGGGTGACCCGCGAGTGGTAGCGCCCCTCTGGAGGGAAAGCGGGTAAGCACCCTTCTCCCCTCCAGCCTCCCGGCTCACAGCGTAACCTGCCCCAACAGACCCTCCTCAGACACAGGCTCCGCCAAGGGGATGGCCCAGTCCCTCAGCCCGGATCCAGGAACTCGGTACCAAGCTTGCGACTCCACTCCTATCCCCACGGCCCCCACTTGGTTCAGCCCACCTGCAAGAAAACTCGATTGGCAACTGCGACCAACCGCCCCTTCCCCCACAAGCCGCGGCATTTGGTTCCACCCTCCCCCTCCCCCCACTCCAACTCAGTTCAACTCGGCCCCTCACCCAAAGACATATCGATTTTGTCGAGGTTTTCATTGCTGTGGGCTTTCGCAGCTGGCGATGGGTTCGCCCTGGCTCCCACTAACCGGGTACCAAACCGGTTCATGGCTGGCGTCATGCTGCAAGTCAGCGAGAAGGCCACAGATGGAGGCCTGCCACCTCCCACTTACGCACGCAGAGTAGCTGCACCGAGGGACCGCGCACGCGTGCTTGCGGCGTCCTCGCCCTCCCACTCGCTGCGGGGGAGGGGAGGAACGTAACAGAGACCAGCGGTCGGCAAGAGCGGCCCTACCGAGGGACTCGCTCGCAGCGACCCTTGACGGGCAGGAGGAAATATTGCAGCAGTAGCTCTGGGCGCTTGCAAGGTTTTAGCAGTTCGCCGCCTTTCGGTCCAGTTTAGGGGATGCTAGATGGTAGCATAGTGGCTAAGACACTTGCCTGCTAACCAGACGGCTGGCGGTTCAAACCCACCAGCCACTCCTCGGAAGGAAGGTTGGGCAA